ACCAAAGACCTCAAGAGCTGCCTGCATTGGTCCAACCCAGTGCAAAGTCCTTGGGGCAGGTAATGGAAAAAATTAATCCAGAAGACTATTTATCTCCTTAGTCAGAAAACCTCAGCTGGAGCTCAAACAAGTCAAGTTCTCAAAGGATTACAGGTGCTTACCAGTCCCTCAGTAAATACTGTTGGCTGATTCATTAAGATTACATAAAGCAAATAGTAAGACAATAGATTAAAACTCTTAAATGCTTCATAATCTTCTCTTCTCCTTAGGAAAAAAACTGTCCCAGGTAAAGTCAGCAGTGGAGTGCTCAGTAGATCATATGCAAGTGAGCCAGAGAGATTTCTTTTCTCAACCAATGCTTCTTAACCAAAAATTTACATAGGGAGGCCCTTGGAAGGAGGAACCGAAGGAGTGACAGTTACTCAAACATCAACGCAGCAACCTTTATGTCTGGTGTCTCCTGAATGTTATGTGATTATACGTGTTTACAGAATGCAGTCACCTCCATCGGGGATCAGAAAACATGACCTGCAGACCACAGGATGGAGACGAAAGTTGCAAGGAAGAAGGAAACCTCATCTTCAAATTAAGCCACATCAGGCTAAGTGTCACCTGAGATGGGGACCATGAGCCATGAAAAAATAAATAAATTTTGAATACGTTAGACATTCTTTAATAAGCTACTGACATATTCTGAAACTAGGGTTTTGTAGTGGGGTCCTTTTGTGTGTGAGTTTCACCAGATGAGGTTTATTTTTAAACTAGAATTTATTTTCTCTTTTACTTATTCAGAGAGAAAGAGAGAGATTAAAAAAGACCACACAACCCTGGTTTGAATCTTGGCACCCCACCTGGCTAGCTTTGTGACTTTGGGGAAGCTTCCTCACTTCCCTGAGCCTAAGCGTCCTCATCTGTGGAAAAGACAGAGCAAGAGGTTGGTGAGAGCATTAAATGAGAAGCCCGCAAAGTACTAACAACCGTGCCTGACATGCAGCAAGCACCAAATGTTGACTATTTTTCCTTCCTGTTTAACCATCAAATCCCAAATATTCTATACATGTGGGTACATTTGCTCTGTGGGTTATTTTCATTTCCTATTTCTTAGACTCATCAGGACTTAAATACCCGCTTGACTGAGAAAATGCTGATACTTTTCTGATAACATTATTCTACCACCTGGTAAAGGTGGATGCCCCAGAGCTCCCTCACCTCTTCTCAACAGGACAGGTGAGGGCCAGATTTAAAAAGCTAGGCACTGATTCTCCGCCCAGGGGTATGTGACACATAGGACAAGGAGCTGAATTTTATCTCACTTCCTGATGGCCAGGCCATGTCTGCTCTGATCTGTACAGCAACGTGCAGCTGGCCCTCTTGTCCAAGGCTTCTTCCCTAGGGGAGCATATCAGAGCCCCTAGGGAGTTCCTCCCCACTCCCACCCACATCAGAAACCAGGCCCTAAATGATGCAGAAAGTAACTCTAGAATGAAACGAAGGGTTATGTTGTCTTCTCACACATCTCACAACTGACGTAACATAACAGTGAGTCAAGGTGCTGTAAGGCATGGCATCTCCTGGGTTACACATGTGTAAACAAACAAACCCAAAAAGATACCAGGAACAGAGCAAGACTCCTAACCTGTGCTTTCTAGCAACCCCTCTGCCAGTCTAGCAAGGCAGGCAAGGCTTAAAGTTGTAAAAAAGGAGGCGGCGCCTGTGGCTCAGTGGGTAGGGTGCTGGCCCTGTATACCAAGGGTGGTGGGTTTGAACCCAGCCTGGGCCAAACTGCAACAAGAAAATAGCCGGGCATTATGGTGAGCGCACTTAGAAGGCTGAGGCAAGAGAATCGCCTAAGCCTAAGAGCTGGAGGTTGCTGTGAGCTGTGACGCCACAGCACTCTACCGAGGGCGACAAACTGAGACTCTTCTGTCTCTGAAAATAAAAATAATAATAACATGCAAAGGACTCCACAGGGAAACAGTTATATCTAAAACTTGAAAAAGAGTCTGGGATATGAACAACAAAAATAATTCTATGATACACTGAGTGTTTTTCATTAATGCATTAAATGACAAAATCTATCAGCAACTCTAATAACAAATGTGATTTCAAAGCAATGATGGATCAAGGCAGTGATTCAAAGTATCTGCTTCCACTGTAACAGGACATGTAAACATCTATGATCTCTACTGGTGAGGAAGTCACAGGTCCTGCTATATCACTATGATCTGTTGTTTGCATCTGTGATGAAAGGAAATGCTGCATTTCCTTAGAAGTTCATGAAACTAAAGATACAATTTTTTCCTCTTTATAAGTTCACAGAACTAAATTCTCTCTACAGGTCATTTGGGGGTCCCAAGACCTCAACGTGAGAGCCCTGTTCTACAGGGTGCTATGTTTAAGAATTAATGCCTGATCTTTCAATTAATCGATAGTTAGCAAATAGCCACTTTGCTCTAAGTACAGAAACCACAAGAAAAAAAAAATGCAGGTTGAAGGTAAGTCTTGGGTGTAACCATGCTGTAAGCACTGACAATCTCAGCTTGATGTTTATCTCTATTATTTCAGTTTTATTATTAATTGTAGTACCTGCTGCCAAATCCACCAAGACTTTTTTTCTTAAATATATAACTTAATGTAAACAAACTAAAAAAAGAGACACAATTTCTGTTTAAGTCTACTGAAACTGTGGTTTGATGTTATGAAATAAATGCTGAGCCCTCCATGCTCCCATTTCCCCTCTAATAAAACTAACCCTGCCCAACTATAGCTATTTTGCAGGGATGAAATGAGGCAATTTGTGTGAGAGTTCTCTGAAAATTGTGTGGTGTTGACCATGGATAGTGTTCCAATTACACTGTGAATGTCAGTGATTACTCAGCATTGATAGAGGGACCCATGGGCCTGCTATGAGAGAAATGTCTCTGGAGGGCCAGGCACAGGGGCTCACGCAGGTAATTCTAGCACTCTGGGAGGCCAAGGCAGGTGGATTGCTCGAGTTTAGGAGTTTGACATCAGCCTGAGCAAGAGTGAGACCCTGTTTCTAAAAACTAGGCAGGCACTGTGGCAGGCACCTATGGTCCTCGCTACTCAGGAGGCTGAGGCAAGAAGATCACTTGAGCCCAGGAGTTGGAGGCTGCTGTGAGCTATGACACCAGGGCACTCTACTAAGGGCGACATAATAAGACCCT